GGACATTGTTCGATATATATGGTCAAAATCAGCATTGCGACGATTTACTGCTTCCAAATGAGCGGCCAAGTGACAGTTTACAAAGCACATTATTCGATCAAATACTCTTAACCTCAGACCAACGCCACCCTGCATTGTAAGTGTGTAACATGACCGAATTATGCAAGCCATTTCATTGTTCCCCTTATAAAGGCAAGAAATAATAATTTAGTAGAGCAAGCAGCTTTATGTCTTGAGCATCAGTGGTATGAGTTCTAGAGTAAACAAACCAACATGGCCCAGCGTTATCGAGAAAAGGTTTTGTTTCCTTAGTCTTTCTTGTGCACTTGTTTTAGTCTATTTAGTCTATCTGAGTGGGTTTGGTTGGCAGGGTCAGGGTCTTTCGCATTCTTAACTAAAAAAGAGTAAGAGGGTGGTTCCCTCAATTGTGGCATCGCCTTCATCATCCCTCGGACAGGTTGATGAGCTTTTGGACAATTCGATATGAGCGAACTCCAGAAGCATCAGACTGTCTGTTATTTTTTATACAAGTTAAACAATATCAGGGAGAAAGGTACCTTGTTACCAATTGCACGTCCTAAACCGCATGCAACTGCTCCAACATCAAGGTCTCCAACATGTTTTCTGAGAGATTTTCTCACCCTGAGTTAAATATTATTGATGCAGAAAATGAGTAAAAAAGTACAAATAGGTTTAGAGCTTGAGGGAGAACTATTTCACCCCAATTCAGCTAGAAATATGATGCTTTATGAAAGGATGCAGTCCTTAGGATGTATAGTTGGGACTTCAGCTTAAAAAGAGAAAACAGATCACTAAAAGATACATTCACAAGCTCTTACCAGATAGCAATAAGCAATGCAGCTAGTTGCCTTGATCCTACACGTTCGAAAGTTGATCCTTCATCCAATGCCTTCCCTATTGCGTCCTGCCACCATTGCCCCATCGCACTTCCTTCCAATCCTACCTACAGTTTGACATGAGTGGTAATGCTGTGCACATGACACAAGACTAGGAAAGTATCAGGCTACACTATCCGCATGTGCGCCAGATTATGTATTCCCTAATATCAATACTATCATAGCAAAAGTCAACAAATGATTGACTTGGAAATATCAAAAGTGATGCAAAGTGAGTAAACCTACACCATTTCTTTCAAATTGAAGTCAGGCATTAAAGACATTTAGTACACAACTTCTTTAGTCAGTAATTGTTTTATAAAATGCACAAGTTCCTTCTGTGGATCTGGAAATTTTACTCACCAATCAGACACAGGAAAATACATCTATGGTAGAGCATCTTAGTGTTAGCTATTTTGTGCCCTCCAATCTCTTGATCATGTTTCAGGGATTAGCTGAGCAAGTAGAGACACAGCGTCAAGGAGAAAGATCAACGAAAGCGCAGAACTACTTGTAGATTGCAACACCTTATCATTCTCTCATGAAAGTAAAGCCTGTTAACTCTTTAAGCTACCAGGATTCTTGACTTCTTTTCTTCTAAATAACAGACTGATCAAGTTCTCTATTTTTTTTTTGTTTCCGGGTCCATTTTCGCCAAATGGCACAACTACTAGTTGCATACGGCTTTAAAATTTCTTATATAGCTGGACCTCCTGTAACATGTTGAAGGTGAAATAACTTACAGTTTCTTTTGCAGCAGACATTGCAAGAAAACCAGCTCCCATTTCGACTTCTTGCAACCCAACCACTACTATTTCAACATCTGAAACTGCCGAACCAAGCCAAGCTGCAAGCGCTTCCTGCGAAACTCTTCCCTGACCAACATTCCAGGTACCAACTAAAATCCTGAAATTTTCTTTTCTGGTGTACAAATGTTCTTTCTCAGCTAACTCTGGTCGTATTATGTTATCAATAGGTCCTGGAGAGGCAAGACTCCATCCACGTATACCACCGTGAGTAGCCAAGCTGAAGAGATAGTTATCCCCAACTACCATTTTTACTACAGGCCCGTTGTGAGCAACCCAACCAGCTAGCAAGTTTCCTTCGAGATCCAGCATCTGTACCATGCCACTTACATAGCCAACCCATATTCGAGAACCATGAATGCATAAGCATAAAATAGGACAAGGATGGTGATGGAAATCTTGCAAACGGTTTCCATTTCCATCCCACTGCACAAGTAAACCATTTGAACACCCACTCCAAATCATTCCATCAGCTGCAATCACAAGGGCTTCTGTTTTCTTACTGTCTTCTGCAAATGCTCCTGCCCCCTTTGTAGCAACTCGGCGAACAGCTTCTGCTGCTCCCATTATAGCATTACGTGACCGCTGCAAAAAGCTACTTCCTTGTGACTTTTCCTTTTTAGATTTTGGTACAAACTTGGCATTCATCTCATCTTCTGTTGCTTGGTCTTGCACTGATGACATGTCAACTCGATTTTCAATTTGACCTTCTGCATTGTAAACTTTAAGGAGTTCCCTTGTATGTGCATCCCTGCAGTTTCCCAACTATCAGGGTAATTAGGAGTGATGATTTATTAGCAAAGGAAGTCTTCGCCTATTCTCTTAACTAACTAATGAATAAGAAATGCACACATAATCATTCAGATGGAAGCAATAAAGAGGAACCTACCATAACGAGAAGGATGCTGATCCCGCTGCCCACACTTTTGCTCTTATATGATCAGACAACAAGCACTTCACATCAGAAGATGAGATGTTACAGACACCATTAACTGTAACTTGGCTCCTAAGGTCAATGAATGACCTTTCCACAAGTAAAGCAGCCATGTGTTTTTCTTCCGGTGATAGAGAGAGAGATTTTTCAACAGATTCCCATGGCCAAACTCTAATGTTACCACCCTCGGACCCTGACCATATATCACCTGGATATGCAAGTAAACAGTCACAAAAGCCGTCTACAAAGAAAATTAGGAACAATATATTCACCATTAATGTGATCTTACAACTGAGGTTCTCAACTACCAGTAAGACGAAATAACACATAATCAATGATGTAGCCGCAAGCCGGCAACTAATGAATAAAAGTTCCAGAGTATAACCTGGGAAATTAAATTTCAAAATAAGCATTCAACAAGTGTTCTTGATGATTATTGTGAGACTTCATGTACAAAACTTACAGCTACAGAGAAATTATGGGGCAGAATGACAAAGCGACCTTGCGTGCAATCAGCAAAAAAGGACAATTGAAGGTCAATTAGCGGTCCAGGTAACTGGCTGGTTGGTAATCTCAGACGCATCGAGAAAGACACTTGGCCTAGAATTATTTTCGATGTCAAAGTTACTTAAATGCCCAAATGAAACTTCCTGTCATATGTATCAAATAGTTAGGATTCGAGAACCTTGTCTTGATCAACATTGTTACCACAAAGGAAATGAAAGATTCTTACTCTCTCTTTACAAGCAAACAAGCTCTTTATTCTTCTCCTATGTCCTAATTTCCAAGGGCTGCTAACTAGAAATGATTTAACCCAACCATAAGCTAACAGAATCTAGGAGCTTACATATTTTAAGTTCAAAGGTGCACAAACAAGAATTTCAATAGGCTGATTAATCATAAACATTGATCGGGATCACAGTTTTCTTTTTCAAAAATGAATTACGAATGCTAGCAAGGAAAGGTTGGTATTACCATAAGAAGACATGACCATAGAAAGAACAGAACCACGATGAGCTTGCCAGGAGAGGCCTTCCTTGAAAGGAGATTCATCAGCATTTGATTGGTCCATCTTCCAGGACCTAATCTTGCCATCTTTGTGTCCACTCCATATCAACCTACTCCCACTATCAACCATCAAGCATAATGTGGGTGTTGTATTTGTCGACTCGTGAAATGGTGCGGCATCCTCATCTCCTCTCCTTGCCCTTTCCCCAATTCCCATTCCTGGCTTATACTGATCTGAAAAATTCCATACTCTTATCCCACATTCTAGTCCTGCCCATAATTGTGTCTCTGTACAGGCTATCGTCCTCAAAAATTTTCCAACCTGTATTCAGGTTAATTTTTGTTACTATAAATTGGGAAAAGAAAGAAAAACATTTTTAAACACACAAACACAGAATGAAGAATGCTAAACAAAACACACACGCTTTATACTTCTGATTCATCTAACAATCAAACAAAAATGACATCAAACTTATGGAAAGTTTTGCTCAGCAGTAGTGTTTAAGAAACAAATGAAATCTAGCTTCATCATTGCTCTTCTCTTCCATATCCTATGTCATTTCCTCGACAAATAATAAAAAAGGGATGGATAATTAAGACTTCAAATGTATTATTATTTGGGTTTTGAAAATAGAAACAAGTACAACTTGCATCAGTTGAAATTATAGTTTCGACTATTTTAATTAACCTTAACAAGTTTAACTATGTTCCATTTAGTCCTAAACATCAAACAAATTGATAAATTAAAAAGCTCTAGAAAGAAAAGAACATCTTGAAAATAAGCAATTTTTAAGACTACTTTAGCGCCTAGCATTCGAACATCGGCTCAAGTCATTTCCTCTATGTAGGCTAACGCTGAAAAAGAAAGGACACCTTACGTTCTTGAACGTGTAACCATCTCTCAACTAACCTAGCCTCCTACATCCCTGTGGTCCGACGAGGATTGGAGTAGTAAAGGAATTGCTGGTAAAACGGTATAGTTAAAGTTATACTTATTTACAAAATTAATTGTATTCTGAAATAATAATATAATTGAAGAAATATATAACACTTAGCCTTGATAGGAAGACGAAATGACAGAAATAAAGACACTGATAGTGAAGCCTCGACACGCAACAGTAATAAGAACAAGAATATAAAATAAGAAGATAAAATTGAATAGAACTTTGAGTATATTGTAATATTATTCATGTCCTTACATTGATAACAGAGCTCACTATTTATAGCTACGTCTAGGAAATAAGGTCCCCTTTTTTAATGTCAATTATGAGGGTCATTGATTAAGATGTAACGGTGAGCATAAATATCAAATTCCTTGTAACGGGCAACATACTTAATGCTGTGGAATATTCTCCATTAAATGCTACCGGGCAACAACAACAACAGCATACCAGTATTATCCCACACTGTGGGGTCTGGGGAAGGTAGTGTGTTGTAACACCCCGGAAAAATTCGAAGTACTTAAGCGCTATTAAGAAAGTTGATGTGCGCTAATTATATTATTTTATGTGCGGACGAGGACTATTAATATAATGGCTATTAATTTGATATGATAATAAGTGTACGAGGTATATTATAAGTGATGTGGGGCCTAAGGAGTGCCCTAAGTCCAAGTCAAGTTGGAAATTTCATAATAGACTAAAGTTTCAAGTGAGTTCGCACAAGACCTAACTTCAAACGCTCATACCTATCATGATATGAAGATTTATATGGTGTATTATATATCAAAATAAAGGTCTATGTGTCTAGTTTCTAACGCTTCAAACCGTTCGTCATTTGGACACTCCTACAAAAAGTTATGACCAAATTACCAAAGGCTGGCAAAATGCGATTCTGCGACCAATTCTGCAATCGCAGAAGTGGTTATGCGATCGCAGAAATGGTTATGCGACCGCAAAACGGTCGCAGACCTGGCCAGCGCAGTCCAGTTTTGGGCATCGATTCTGCGGTGCATTGTGCGACCCGCATACCCATTCTGCGGCCCATTAAGCGACCGCAGACCTAATTTTGGAGGGTTAATTTTTTTATTTTTATAACTCGACCCTATTTTGATAAATAGGCTTTGGGGCTTTATTTTGGGGCAATTATCTGAGGTTTTTTTAGAGAGAAGTGAGAGTGTTCTAGAGAGAGAAAGTAGATGAAGTGTTTTGTTCATCAAAATCTTGCCCAAGCTTTGAAATCCAACAAGGAAATCTCACACGATCTTCATCTAAGAGGTAAGGTTCCATACCCTAATTTTCAATTTCGAATTTGGGTAAATGATGATTGATTTGGAGTATGATTCATGGGTATAAGAGTATTATTTATACATGCTTGTACTAATAAGGTTTGTGGGAAGACTGTTGAGCTCAAATAAGTAAAGATTGGATTGTGGAGTGAAGGAAATATTGTAGAAGAACCTTGTAGTTAAATTTGCACACCTAGTGTTTGATAAAATGCTTAAATGAGTTTAGACCATGAATATCTTCCTAATAATGGTTCAATTTTGTTATGTCTCAAAATAGATTGAGATTGCTAGAATTTTCGGAACGTTGTAGTAATTTAAGGAAAGCTCAAAGCAAGGTATGTTGGCTAAAGTACTCTCTTGGAATTAAATTCTATGATGTTCCCGTAAGTTTCAAGTATGGTTGTATCAAGTTCCTTATTCTATGTTCCGAGATATTCCCAATAAATTTGATTGTCCCGAATAAGCAAAGTGTCGAGAATTAAGTATTCAAAACGTGTTCCGAATGTTCCTAACAAATTATATTATCCTTTCGGAATGTGTTCAAGAATGATATGTGTATTAAAATGCTATGTCTTTGAGTCGTGTTTCAAATGAAGGTTATGATGCCAAATTATGTGAGAAAATCCCAATATGCTTAAGATTCTTAATTGCTCATATGTGTACCTAAAGTCTTGATTGAAAATGTCTTATTGTTGATAATCTATAAAGATGGTTGGAAGTGAAATAAGTGAATTGAGGATATAAAGTGTGGCCAATGTGCAAGAGCGAAAGTTATACTTGTGGTCAATGGTACTAATGGAATTAAAAGATGTGAAAGAAGTATGAATAAAAAATCATGTGAGTGGCCAAAAGAGCCAAGGAAATATTGTTGTTGTTGTTGGTTAAAAATACTAGTGGAGATTCATACAATGTGAAAGATGATGAGGTAAATATATTTGTACCTATGTTATTTTTGTGAATTATTCCTCTTATTTGAGATGAGATTGATGTGATAAAATTATTCCCTTTATTTGGGATGAGATTGATGTGATAAAATTATTCCCCTTAATCGGGATGAGATTGATTGATAGAAAAGGATGATGTTGATCCACACGACATTGTGGTGAGATAGCCTAGCCGATCGGGTCGTGATCGGATACCATGCCGCACACATGGTGGTGATTGTGCTGGAAATTATAATTAAAATTGTGATTGTGGTTGATGTCTCTAATGAGATAGCCTAGCCGATCGGGTCGTCATCGGACTCCGTGCTAAAATATGATGGTATTGGTATTGATAGTTATTGTGGTTGATGTCTCTAATGAGATGGCCTAGCCGATCGGGATCGGACTCCGTGCTAAAAGTACGGTGGTATTGGTATTGTGAATATTAGTATTGTGAACATTGGTATTGTAATTATTGGTATTGTGAATATTGGTATTGTGAAGATTGGTATAGTGATTATTGGTATTGCGAACATTGGTATTGTGAACGGTGATATTGTGAACAGTGGTATATCAGTGCTAAAGATCTCCCAACCAAAAATAATATTATAATCATATTTGATTATCACTTCACAGTGTTATCTTCATATTTTGGAAATTATTATGTTTTAACTTGGCATTTGAATATCATTGACTGATGATTGTTGTTTCTATGGTTTTCCCTTTTCTTACATTGGTATTCTATTTTGAAAGATGACAGTTAGCTTTACATATTAGTACTATTCCATATGTACTAACGTCCCTTTTGCCGGGGGCGCTGCATCTTTAATGGATGGAGGTGGTTCATCAGCGGTGCAACTTTGGTCCTCATTAGCAGTCACTCTCTATTCAGTAGGTTTTGGTGAGCCCTACTCTATTCCGGGCTTTATGTCATATGACGTTGTATTTTGTACTATGAGGTATAGCCGGTGCCTTGTCGCCGGCACTTCCATTCTCCACTTCTGTTGTACTAAGAGGCTCCGTAGACAAGTTGTGGGTGGTGTTTGATGTGGGAAATTGAACTAGAAATGCTGGTATTTTGCAAACATGTTTTTCATTATAATTATGAACTTGTAATATTTTGGAAATCGTAAATAAATCTCTTTTGAATAATGGAATTGGAAAAATTGGGGTTGTTAATGAAATCCCCTCAGTGTTTAATTAATGAGATATACTTTCTCTTTATTCATGGATGAGTTTGGATAGAAGAAAATCTAACAGGCTTGCTCGGCCGGGTTTACTCGGTTGAGCGCCGGTCGCGCTTCCCGAGTTTGGGACGTGACATGTGTACGCAGACCTTACTCCTACCTTGTGAGGATAGAGAGGCTGTTTTCAATAGACCCTCGGCTTAGAAAAACATAAGCACCACATTAATAAAAATATAGACACGAAGGGACAGTACCATAAATCCATATAAAAGTAGAATAAAAACAACAAGATAGTAAGGTGTTCAACAATGAAAGCAAACAACGGTTAGTCATAAACCTACTACCAGTAGAAAGCGAGACTGCGTGCCAATACTACTGTTATGAACACTCTGAACTACCTACTCTACCACCCTAATACTCGACCTCCATACCTTCCTATCAAGGGTCATGTCCTCGGTCAGCTGAAGCTGCGCCATGTCTTGCCTAATCACCTCTTCCCACCTATTCTTTGGCGTACCTCTACCTCTCCGTAAGCCCTCCAATGTTAACCTCTCACACCTCCTTACCAAGGCGTCTGTTCTTCTCCTCCTCACATGACCAAACCACCTAAGCCGCGCTTCCCGCATCTTGTCCTCAATAGGGGCCACACCCACCTTATCGCGAATAACCTCATTTCTGATCCTATCTAACCTGGTATACCCGCATATCCATCTCAATATCCTTATCTCTGCTACCTTCATCTTCTGGACATGAGCGATCTTGACTGGCCAACACTCAGCCCTATACAACATCGTTAGTCTGACCACCACTCTGTAGAACTTACCCTTAAGTTTCGGTGGCACCTTCTTGTCACACAAAACACCGGAAGCGAGTCTCCATTTCATCCATCCCACCCTAATACGATGTGTGACATCTTCATCAATCTCCCCATCCCCCTAAATAATAGACCCAAGGTACTTCAAACTACCTCTACTAGGGATGACCT